ATGGTAGCCTTCAGTCACATATTGCTATTTAAATTTATAAAAAATTAAAAATTCAGTTCCTCAGTCACACCAGTCACCCTTCAATGCTCAACAGTCACATTAGCTAGTGGCTACCAAATTGAGCAGCACAAATACAGAACATTTCCAGGAAGTCCTATTTTATAGTGTTACTCTAGAAGAGCAATTGCTGATAACATAGGCTGTTTACCTTAATTAAAATTATATGATTCAGAATTCTCTGTCCCAAACTATATTTAAAAATTTTTTTTTAAATTCTCACTTCTGGTTAGTTTCCATTAAGGAGTTACCATGCTTGGCAATGCTGATTCTTATTTTTATAAATATAAACTCTACGTTGGTATTTTAATTTGTGTTTTAAGACTTATTAAAATGTCTTGGGGTGTTTTTTTTCAAATATAATTCAGTGAAGTTTTCAGACTCTTTTAAGTCACATCTTTAAAATGCTATTTCTCATTAAAGATAACGTAACATAATGTTGCGATAAATATGTATTCTGCTTTACAATAAATATATAGACTGCTTTAATCCCTTCTTCTTCAGTCTTTTATGTATTATATTTGCCTTTTCTGAGCAACTCGGCTTGTTTTTTCCAAATACAGATAGTATTCAGTTAGGGTGCTTCATATACCAGCTGCCATTTACATCTATGTTATTACCTATGACAGACACATACACATGTTGACAGACAATTTTAAGTAAGTCAGTCCATCCTTAAGATTACCAGAAGACCAGAAAGATTATCTACTAACTGCTGCTGGGCAGATTTTACACTGAGTTTGAAGTGTTCAGTTATATGTAACATTCTGGATCAGTTCGTCAAGAATTCGTCCATAATTCTTCCTGGAAGTGTCTTCATGTGTAGCTGTCAGGATCTTTCCAGAGAGACTTTAAAAAAAATTCTGCAGCCCTAAAAATGATGTTTGCTACTTTCTGATTTGTTGCAATATAAACATATTATTTACAGACAATATAAGGAAATACTGAGTTCATTTTCATACTGTGAACTACGTTTATTGCCATATTGACCTGTTCGGTTCACTGTATACTTTATAAAGCCGTATTCTCAACAATGTATCACGATATCAATGATCGTTAGTAATTAGTCTTTTATTCTGAAAGATTGGGCACCAGATCAGAGTTAAAGAGAAAGTGAATAAACCTTTAATGTTTTAACAATATCTTGGAGTTTGAAAACACCATAGAGATCACTTACTGTATTTTTTAGAAAATAAAAAATTTAAAAGAGATTGTGACTTATAGTCATGGGCCTAGGTAGCAGTGTTCTTTTTTATATATACTGTATTCCATATAAGTTTGCATATAATCAAATGTTTACAATTTACACATCTCTATAGAAATGCAATGAATAAACTTGAATTCAGAGAGACTCAAGGAGGGCAAGTGACTTCATGTCTCATTGTCTCAGTTTTTTTTGTTAATGTAAAATGGGCCAATTATTGTATTGAGCTTAAGTGTTTGTTTTGAAGACCTAAAGAGTAATGCATGGTGCTAACACATGCCACGGCATGGTTGAATCTTGATGATACTTTGCTAAGTAAAAGAAGCCAGATACAGGCTGGATGCGGTGGCTCATGCCTGTAATCCCAGCACTTTGGGAGGCCAAAGTGGGTGGATCACCTGAGGTCAGGAGTCAGTGACCAGCCTGACCAACATGGTGAAACCCCGTCTCTACTAAAACTACAAAAAAATTAGCTGGCCGTGGTGGTGTGCACCTGTAATCCCGGCTACTCGGGAGGCTGAAACAGGAGAATCACTTGAACCCAGGAGGCAGAGGTCACAGTGAGCCGAGATCATGCTATTGCACTGCAGCCTGGGTGACAAGAGCGAAACTCCATCACACACACACACACAAAAAAGCCAGACACAAAAGATCACATATTATGATTTATTTATATGAAATGTCCAGAGAAGCCAAATCAGTAGAGACAGAAAATAGATAAGTGGTTACCAGTGGCTTAGGGGTGAGGGGGTGGGAAAGAATGGACAGTGACTGCCGATGGTTACAGTTTCCTTTTAGCATGATGAAGATGTTCTGAAATTGGTGGTAGTTACACATCTTTGTCAATATACTTAGAACTACTGAGTTGTACACTTGAAAAAGGTGAAATTTATGTGAATTGATACCTCACTAAGAAAAAAAGGAGTAATGCATGTAAAGTACTTAGCAGGTACCTATTACATAATAAGCTTTTTTTTTTTTTGAGACGGAGTCTTGCTCTGTCACCCAGGCTGGAGTGTGGTGGCGTGATCTCAGCTCACTGCAGCCTCTGCCTCCCAGGTTCAAGTGATCCTCCCGCCTCAGCCTCCCAAGTAGCTGGCACTACAGGCATGCGCCACCATACCCAGCTAATTTTTGCATTTTTAGTAGAGACAGGCTTTAACCATGTTGGCCAGGCTTTCTCAATAAGCTGTCTTTATAAAGATTTTTGGCTACTGTTATTAGGAACCATTTGTGAATTTTAAGAAAATAATGCAGAAAAACTAGGAAGTATAGGCTGGGCGGGGTAGCTCACCCAGTCCCGCACTTTGGGATCCCAGCACTTTGGGAGGCCTAGGCGGGTGGATCACCTAACGTCAGGAGTTCAAGACCAGCCTGACCAACATGATGAAACCCCATCTCTACTAAAAATACAAAAATTAGCTGGGTCTGGTGGCGGGTGCCTTATAATCCCAGCTACTTGGGAGTGTGAGGGAGAAGAATTGCTGGAACCCAGGAGGTGGAGGTTGTGGTGGCTGGAGATCGCGCCATTTCACCACAGCCTGGGAATGAAGAGTAAGACTCTGTCTCAAAAAAAAAAAAAAAGAAAAACTAGGAAGTATAATATTAAGTATTGTATTGTATTTTATTTTACTACCTGAAATACAAATGATTTAACCACTAATGGCATATTTTAATTACTTTTTCAGCAGTAGAATGTAAAAAAGATACACTAGTTTCCAAATTCAGGTATTAATCATAGCGAGTTTTTTGCAATAAAGAATCCCATGTTTTAGTTAGTATTACAGTACTATTTAAATATTTTTCTTAATATATAAGCCATTAAAATGGCAAATTTCATGTTGTATACATTTTACCATGATTTTTTAAAATAATAAATACTAAGTCTCATAAGAGCTTTTAATCCTTGAGAAGCCTTTTTTCTATGTGTATAGTCCTGTCCTTTTTATTATTTCAGAAAAAGGTAATCATAGTGATAGAAATCTTTAACGATGGCAGTTTATATGTATCTTTAGTTTGTGGCTTTTAAAATGAAAATTATTACAGCTGACATCTAATATATGTATCTACTAGGTACTGAATAGGGCACCCACAGGAAGTAAATTCCATACCTTAAATTAATCTCATGTTGTTAATGTGATAAAATAGAAGACTCAGCATTGTTGGTCTGGGGGAAACTGGTGTTTTAGCTTCTCTTCTCGGCTGTCATAGTGGTGCCAGTAACTTACAGAGTAGAAAACGCTCTGGTTAACGCTCAGAATCTGTAATGAAGTAGCAGAAAAAAGATAGTTTTTGTTTTAAGGGCTTACATAAGATAGTTGAGGACAAAGAATGCACTAAGGATAGCCCCAGTGCCTCCGAATGGCTCTTGATGCATGATGGTTGCTCAGATATTTGTTTAATAAATCAATTTACAGGTATTCATTGGGATGCAATTTGATGATAATTAAATGCATAAATTGTGATAGCTATTTATCAAGCCAATTTTATATGCTAGCATTTTGTTTGAGTGAGAGATTGGGTGGGGATGGAGATACCAGGAAATTCTGTAAGTGTTACCGCCTTCAAGGAACTTGGAAAGGTGGTGGGCGATGGGGAAGATACTAAAGAATGGTGTAAAAAACCCAAGGTTGAATATAGCCAAGTGCTTCAGTACTTGGTGAAGGTGCAAAATGCTCCATATGAAGAGAAAAGAATGTAGTGGTGGGATTAGATTTATGGTGGGAGTGGGATTTGGGGTAGGCCTCAAAGGACTATCTTAAAGGCTGAGAAAGGGTGAAAGGTATTTGCATGTAGGGATACTGATCAGTTATGAGACCAACTAGAGCAAAGGTGTAAAGCCTAAGAGTCAACCCCTCGAAAGTTAATGAAATGTGAGCTCCGTCTGACTGGAGCTGGGAAGTCCACTTTAGGAGAAGGTGACAGACTTATGGTTGGATTGGTTAAGTGAGATGGCGTTATACAGAATCTTCATCATCAGAAGCGGAGTAGTTCATAGTTCACATAGACTCCAGAGGAGGAGTCAGGGGACTTAGTATAGGTTCTCTAACTGAAAAATGAATTGATGTTTAAGGAGAGATTAATTTGGTAGTTTTGTGTGTGGTATGAAAATGGGGTTGGAGAGACTAATTAATGGGTTTGCTCCAGAGTGCCCTTGTGTGGGGTATACACTTTTTTTTTTTTTTTTTTTTTGAGGCACAGTTCTGTGGCGCAATCCCAGCTCACTGCAACCTCCGCCTCCCAGGGTCAAGCGATTCTGCCTCAGCCTTCCGAGTAGCTGGGACTACAGGCGCCTGCCACCACACTCCACTAATTTTTTGCAGTTTTAGTAGAGATGGGGTTTCTCCATGTTGGCCAGGCTGGTCTCAAACTCCTGACCTCGAGTGATCCGCCCGCCTTGGCCTCCCAAAGTGCTGGGATTACAGGTGTAAGCCTCTGTACCCGGCCTAGTGTACACTTTTATATGACACATAAGGCTAGGTCTAGGCAGAATTATAAGTAGATTATTGCCTTTTGCCTTTTTTCCCCCCACTATTTTCCCTGTGTCTCTCTTCATTGTCCCCATGGACCCTAATATTACAATAGATTGTCTAGCTATCATAATAGATTCTAGACAATCAGCTGTTATTCAGTGAGTTTGTGATTTGGGGGATAATCTCTTTTTTAAAAAACACAAATTCTCACTTTAATAAGTGACTTTTGTAAACCAAGAGCTTTCCTTGTCAAATTTTCATTATAGGTTAATGATGAAATGGCAGGTAATTCACACTTTTGGACAGAGCACACCGCCCCCGTGGAATCACCCTACAGAAGAGGCCAGCTATAAAGGATGTCTCACACCTTTAAGATCAGTGTTTCTCAATGTGTGGACCATGGATACCTGTATTAGAATACACAAAGGATTTGTTTAAAATTCAGGCTGAGCCCCTCCCAAGACCTAATAGAGCTAAAAGCTTTGGGAGTAGGTGGAGGAAACCTGCATCTTTACCCAGCAATCCAGGTAATTTATATGCATACTACATTTTGAGACCCACTGATGAAAGAATTCTAATTTTCTATAGAGTTACTCTAGCAAGGAACCTTCTCATTTCTTATATATTAGGTTATTTCTACATGGGACATTTCCCAGTAGACCATATTATTTATGGTATCTTACTAGGTGGAAGCCAAAAGAACATTAAATAATCTGCTGGTGTTTGGGGGTTAGTTTTGCACTATTTCTTACAGTGCAAGCAATTCTTGTTACCTTGTAAAACGGTTCCCCCTTTGAAGGGTTGAATACTATTCACATAGCAGCCCAGCCTGTGGTATATGTGTTTAATCTGTCAAATCTCATTCCATTTTTCTTCTGTAAGAATGCTAATGATACCAATTTCTAGAATCGAATGATTTCTACTCTGCCTGTTGAACTGCAAATTTGAAATCCCCTATAATAATTAGAGCCCTCCTTAGAGTATATTGTAATGACCATTGAACCTGTATCTAAAAATTCTAGTAACTTAACTATCTAGTCTTAAAAACAAAAAATTAAAACAGGAACTCCAAAACAATCTCAGAAGTTAGAGTAGGTGAAGTTAGCCTATTTTAGATGTGTGAAGGGATGGCAGTGGGGGAGAAAGATGGATTACTAAGTATCATTTATTTCTTACTGGGTAAAAATTCAAACAGGAGACCTTATAGCTGCCTTTTTATTACACTTGGCTTCCTTTTAAGTTTATTGGCCTTTGGTTGGTGCATATGTGAATAAATTTAGACTATTATTTTATTTGACTGACAAATACTTAAAAATGAGTGTTCATATTCATTTTAGGTGGAGTTAGAAATGGAACCTGAACTATAATATATAATATAGCATGCCGCTTTCCTTTCTGATTTTATGGTAACATTGAAACTAAAATGTTTCTTTCTAATGTGTCCATCCTGACTGCCATCCTTAAACTAGAGCCTCTTGTCTGCTATCTGAAAAGAGCAACAGCAGGAAGGAAGCAATTGATTTATATACATTTGAATTAGTCTGTAAAGCCCAAGGTCTGTATTTGTTCAAGAAGAGACAGAAGCAGCAGTAATGCTCTGTGCGTCAGGTGGATTAGATGCAAATGTGCAAGCTATCATCTTTCTAAGAGAAGCATTTTAACAAGGCAGTTTTGTTCCTAGCTCTTCTTTTTTTTTCTATATATCTGTTGTGTTGATTTTTAATTTGGATTATTTTCCACTGGCTTTAAAAATGTAAGTCTTTCTCAAAAGAGAAAGCATTTTGTAGCATCATAATGTACATTGATTATACATCAAACTATATATAGTGTAGTTAGCTTGATGTAGACTGTGTAGCTTTGTAGTTTGCAACTTAGTTGTATATTTAAATGAGAAACAAGTGACTAACTGGATCCCATCAAGGTGGGTGTTAGGTACAGCCTCAGCCATAAAAGACTTAATCAGGCCGGGTGTGGTGGCTCATGCCTATAATCCCAGCACTTTGGGAGGCCGAGGCAGGTGGATCACCTGAGGTTGGGAGTTCGAGACCAGCCTGACCAACATGGAGAAACCCCATCTCTACTAAAAATACAAAATTTGCCAGGCGTGGTGGTGCATGCCTGTAATCCCAGCTGAGGCAGGAGAATCACTTGAACCAGGAGGTGAGGTTGCAGTGATCCCAGATCACGCCATTGCACTCCAGCCTGGGCAACAAGAGCAAAACTCCCTCTAAAAAAAAAAAAAAAAAAAAAGACCTAATCAATACGTTTCCAAGGAGAAAGTGGGATTTTGAAATTCCTACTAGCTGCCAAAAGACAAAATGTTCCTGACACAGCTTTACTACCAAGTGAAAAGATTAAAAAAATTCATTAGCTATAGCAAAAATCAGTTTTCAGTTTTTCCAGTTACCAGTTTTCTAGAAATCATTTGATTTTCAAATCTGCTGTTAGATTGCATTGTGCTTTTAAATAGAGCATCTGGAGACTCTGCTATAAAACTCAGAAATGAAGATGTCTTCATTAAATTTGGTCATAGTAGCATGAAATCTTTTAGCTGAATATAAAACATTTCAACACCTTTAAAGGATAAATGCTCATACCTTCAGGACTGTCAACTACTTTTATTAGTTATGTGGTACTAGATGCATCTCCCTTGGAGCATACTCTTGTTAATTTAAAGTTCCTTGTAGCTTTAATTTTAAAGGACTTATTTGGAATGTTATTAACATTCCTCTCATTTTGTAATCCCCAACAGAATTTTACCATTGCCAGATAATTTAACTAGTGCAGGAATTTGACTTTGTTATAGACTCATGAGGGGCAAATTCTTTACTGATTATTTCATGGTTAGCTTTGCCAGAAGATTAGGAATATTACTATTTTAGTTTCCCAAGATGATAAGTCTTTGAAAATGGACAAGAGAATTGACTCAGTAAAGGTTACAGCCACAAAAACAGCAGAATTGTGAAATTGTTCTCATTGCTGATAAAATGGAGTCTTTAAATGCATAGTTGCATACATGTATGAATGTGTACGCACGCGCGCACACACACACACACTTTGGGAATGTAATCTGTAAAATATGTTGCCAGTCTCAGATGATACTGTAAAATAAGTGAAGTTTTCATTGTCCCGGCTTTCTTTTCTGCTTGTTTTTATTGATTTTGAAATTAGCCTACCCCAATATCTTCCAGGGAATTTTTAAAAAGTTATCCTTCTCTCTTTCTTGAGGTTCCTCATATACTTTCTATCACACGCACATTTTCACGAGAGCAAAGTCTACCCTTAACTGAAATGAATGACTGCTGAATGATCAGGAACTCCAAGTCCACATGGAATTCTTGCTCTTCGGTCCCAGACTCTCCCTCCTGTGTCCCCCTCAGGCAGGTGAGCATTCTGTAGTTTGTAGCGACAGCTCTTCCTGGTTTGGGTTTTCTTCCTGTCATTGCCTTATTCCAGTTAATCATTACCTAGACTAGTTGCTAAGCTGAAAATTCATATTGTGGAATTTCATATTGGATAACATAGTTGCTTTTCTTGTTTTTTGAACAATGCTTTCAAAAAATAAAGGAAAAAATGAATATCTTAATTACAGCATTTTGGAGCCTTAACGTTTGATCAGTATTTAAAAGCAGTGTTACATGTTTGAATTGTGGTGGTTCTTGAAACTTTTTTACTGCCTTCTTTGTCCTCATGGAGAATGTTGTCCTAAGCACAGAACTTGTCATTCGAGTATCTTCAGGATTTGTACAAATTGTTTATCCTGTGACATCAATTCTTTGTGCTAACTAGTTTCTGCCTTTGACAAGGCTTTTGAAATTTGTGCACCAAAAGCTTCCACGGGTGAAGGACAATGTAGTTTTGTTCACTGCTGATTCTTGGAGTGGTTAACATTTGGGGTGATACTTTGATTAAAGCACACAAGAAAATATGTGAGGATAACTGTGGAAATAGAAAATATGAACATTTTAACATTCTCACACTGAGTGACTTTCATGTAAAGGTTTATTTCCTTCCAGGAATGCTGTCACTTTACTCAATTCAGTGATTTCTTATTTTTTCAAATTAATATTAGTTTGCTTTGACAAATGAGTTTATCAGATTGCTTCATCTGACCAAAATTTTTAAAAGTTCGGTACTCTGTCCTATTTTTTTGTCATGAACATCTCTCACGCTGATCTCATAATACCTGTTTCTTTTTACCATCCACAGCACAGTCATTTTTCCTTTTTTTCTTGTCATTCAAAATGGTGTTTATTTCGTATTTTTGTCTGTTTTGTTTTAAAAATAATACATGTTTATCATAACTCATTCATCCCGTAACAAAGGAGATGAAGTAAAAAATTCATAATTAGCCAGCCAGCCTAATTCTTCTTCTGCAGAGGCAACCACTGTTAGTTCCTCATGTGTTCTTCTAGATGCTTCCCGAGCATATAAGCTGCACATCATTTGTAATGCCTGTATAATATTCTGCTATATGCTTAACCATAATTTAGTTAACCAGTTTTCTCCTGAGGAACACGTTTCCTGTTTTTCTGTTGTGCCCAGTATCTGCAGTTTCCCATGGTGCTCCAGTCCTCTACTGAGGAGGATTTCAGCTATTTCCTGTTCTCCTCCCTATTCTACCCAGTCTTGACAGAGTTTGGAAGGATGTTTTTCTTTTCTTAGACATGTTATTTTAGAGCACTCAGGGATATAGTAGTTACATGGAATTTCTTGATGTAGTGTTTTGTTTTGTTTTGAGATAAGAGTTTCACTCTTGTCACCCAGGCTGGATTGCAGTGGCGTAATCTCAGCTCACTGCAACCTCTGCCTCCTGGGTTCAAGCGATTCTCCTGCCTCAGCTTCCCAGGTAGCTGGGATCACAGGTGCCCACCACCACACCTGGCTAATTTTATATTTTTAGTAGAGAGGGGGTTTCGCCATATTGGCCAGGCTGGTCTCAACCTCCTGACTTCAAGTGATCCACTCACCTCGGCCTCCCAAAGTGCTGGGATTACAGGTGTGAGCTAGCATGGCCGGCTGTGATTTAATGTTAATAATTTTAAAACCCATGAATGTTTTCAGGGAATTAGAGTTAACATTTAGAAAATTGCTTTCGTAGTGTCCCGTGTCATCCTTATGTGAGTAAAGCATTATCCTGTAGGCTGGGAATAGAGAGTACAAAACAGAGGCCAGGCCCTGATGGATTCACCATGGGGCTTCACTCTTTCTCTTCACCTTTCACTACTGAAAGCTGTTAGTGTGTGTCTATTCACTATGTGATCCTAGGGCATATTTTACTGATAGGATTATTTGAGTAGGAGTTGTGTGGTGGCAATTGTGAGTTGTTTTTTTTCAGTGGTGGGGGTGGTTTTGAGGCAGCATCTGGAGTGCAGTGGCATGATCTCAGCTCACGGCAGCTTTGACTGCCTGAGCTCAAGCAATTCTCTTGCCTCAGCCTCCCGAGTAGCTGGAACCACAGAAAGGAACCACCATGCCCAGCTAATTTTAAAAATTATTTGTAGAGCGGAGGTCTTGCTGTATTGCCCGGGCTGGTCTCAAACTCCTGGCCCAAGTGATCCTCCCACCTTGGCCTCCCAAACTGCTGAGGTTACAGGTATAAGCCACTGCGCCTGGCCCAGTAATTGCTTTAACAGTGGTTAATATGGATATTCCTTGAGCCAGAAGCATAATTTTCCCCATCTGATGCCCAAAATGTGAAAGGAGAGAAGACATTGACAGGTCTGCAGAAGCAGGGCCCTGCAAGGTGGCTACAGATACTGTTATGTGGGGCAGGGGTAGGGGAGGTGGTAGGGAGTTGTATGAAAAGTTTAGATCATTTTTTCGTAAAAACTATCTATTAAGGGTTAATTATTTAAAATATGTCCTTATAGGCTGGGCACAGTGGCTTATGCCTGTGATTCCAGCACTTTGGGAGGCCAAGGTGGGCAGATCACGTGAGGTCAGGAGTTCGAGAGCAGCCTGGCCAACGTGGCGAAACCCTGTCTCTACTGAAAATACAAAAATTAGTCGGGCATGATGGCGTACACCAGTAATCCCAGGAGGCTGAGGTACTAGGATCTATTGAACCTGGGAGGCGGAGGTTGCAGTCAGCCGAGATCATGCCACTGCACTCCTGCCTGGGTGCCAGAGCAAGACTCCATCTCAAAATAAAATAATAAAATAAAATATGTTCTTATAGCTACTTGTATAGCAATCATATTTTCCCTAAGTGCTGGTTCCTCAGGAGCAAGGACAATGCCGTGTCACCCTGGTATCCCCAGCAGTGCCTCCCGTGTAGTACAGCAAATAGGGCTGATTAATTAATAGAAATAGTGAAAGAGAAATGTGCCATACAGATATGCAAATCCTAGTTATCAAAGTTAAATAAAAATGTCTTCCTTTTTCATAATTCATTACTCTTATCTAAGCAATGAATAATTTCTTGGAAAGGAACTCTGTTGTATGTATTCTGGGCAAAAACTGTCTTAACTCACTAATTCGCAACTATTTTTATTATACTTTGTTAAAGAAAAAACAAAATGGGCAAGATGAAGGAAGCTGTATTCTCCCGCTGTTGGAATGAAATTTGGTTTGAGTGTTCCTCACTGAAAAGTATCATTTTAAATTCTTTTCTACTTCATTTTCTGCAGTGGAAAGTTACAGAAATAGAGTTTGAAGGAAATGATTTCAGCCTGAAGTAATTAAAAATACTGCTTTGGGTTCTTAAAAACTCATTTTCCTTTGAACTCATGTACAGTATTTTGTTATGCATGACAAATAATGACATATATGGAGGCTGTCTTTGACGTCAGCATCTCACTTGGCATTGTTTCACATGTAGGTTGAACTCGCCTATTGAAAGTTTCTATAAATGCAATAAACCTACCTACAGTTTATTTCTGGTAGCCTTTGGGATTTAAGAGAGAAAACCAATGCTTTAACTGTTTTAAAATCAAGGAAGCAAAATATCCATGAGAAAGTAAGCCACTTAGCATTCGACAATGGAAAGTTTCAAAGCATTTTGTAAATTTTAAATATACTCTATAATTCTTCTATAATTGGTACCTTTGGTACTTTTTGGGTAAATTGGAGTTATTCCAAAATAGTTATATTTTATAGCAGTTTTGACACCATGACACTTAGCAGCAGGATTTTAAAATTAAAGTACTGTTTAGTTCTTTTCGTTCTGTGATATTATGTGTATGGACAACTTTAATTGAAATGTCTAATTCTGGTAGCGGAGGAGATCTCATTAATTCAAAATTATAAAAGGTTTCAAAAAATAAGTATTTTTAAAATTATATAATTTCTTTTTGGTGTCATTTTAAAAGAATAAATATTCTTAGTTGTGCCTTCGAAAATCACTTATGGAGAAAATTGCACTTCAGGATTCTATACTTGTACCAGTAGAGGTCACTGTGCACCTATAAAAGGAAACCCAGTGCTTGCTTCTAGGGATGAGCTAGTTATCCTAGAATGTTATAACTAATAACATCATTGATCTTTCTGGGAACTTAACCAAATTCCCACCCCACTCCCGCCTCACCTCTTAACAAAATCACTTGCCTGTCATCATCTGAGAGTCCCTGTTATTGTCTGTTCCCATAATGGGAGTGTATTCTGATGAGGTTGAGTAGAGCCCTGGCACGCTGTCCCGTAGTATACTTAGGTGAATCAGCCAAAGCGCCAGAAACTATGATTTCACAGAAACAACCATTCAAACTCTCAGTTTCAGAGTTTGAGATAACTTTAACATTCATTAGATTCAGCATCTGAGGTGGGGCTGGAGACTTTTTCATCTATTCTGAACATTTAATTTGCAAATCCAAAATCATTTCAAAGGTATTCTTTTCAGTACTGTCATCTATTTAAGAATGAGACTTTACTTATTAAAACTGTTTAGACCTTTACACTATTATAGTGTCCATGCTACATAGTGTTTGATTCTCTGAGTGTACCAACAAAATATTCATAGAATATTGTTTTATATGATTATCGCCACAGAGGTTTCTGATAACAGAAGAGTGAGAACTGAACTAAATGTTGGTTTGTTATAAAACTGCAATGGTGTCCTTACCAGATAGTCAAAGCAAATGTGTAAATCTCCAGTCAGCCTTGTGCAGTGACCCAAGTTACTGTGAAGGTGGCTGTAAAAGGTGATAAAGGAATGTCATGAATGAAGCAAGCAGTGGGGAATTGTAGAACAATGTAATTGGGCCTCAGTTTACAGAAGGAGAATACAATGTAGGTGCTTTCATGGGTCCCTTCAGCTCTAACACTCTAATCGTTAGTGCAGAGGGCACATTGCAGTGGTTAGCAATGTGGGTCCTGGAGAGAGTGCCTGGATTTGAATTATGACTCTGCCACTTACTGGTCATGAGATTATCTTAAAGTTAGCCTTT